CTACTGATATTACTATTCACAGTAATGTATTATTTTGTCAAACTTCTGCAAAAGAAGCTAAAAGAATCCACAAAGTAAGTTTGCTGAAATCAGTGGAATTACAACTTTGGATTTATGCCAATTTTCTTTTAGAAACTTATTCTTAATTAATGATACACCACCACCCCCCCCCATCTTTTTGCATATAAACTTCGTTTTTCTCAGGTGAAACAAAAATAATTCACAAATTTGGATGGCTTTAACAACAATAACAGCTATTTTAAAACTGGATTTCTTACTTACTATATAAATTCTACACTTCTCTCCCAAACATATCTGATCTACAGATGAATATGAAAGCAATGAATAAGAAATATATGAAATTCTTCCTGTATGATTTTAAAATATTTGTTGTTTTTATATAGATGCTACATTTGTCTGTTCAATAAACAATGTTAGCAGCATTTGGGAAAAAAAGTATATATATTTTGTCCATTTTGCATTATTCAACATGCAGATTACACTTCTTCATTCAGATGGAAAACTGACAAGTTATACACTGCTTAGGAAAACAATAAAAGACGATTTTTTTACATACCGGTCATTGTAAATCCACCAACTAGCAAGCCAATGTCTCTTCCACCGACTATAATAGCTTCACTGCGATCTCCTTCGCTGCCAGTGTTCTTGGTTTTCCAAGCAGCCCATATCCCGACTGCCAGGATAGCCAGGTAGAATACAACTATGGCCACCAGCCCCTCCGCATGGAAAGCCATGTTGAAGTCCCGGCTGTTTCTTTGATCGCTATTTCATTAAGACGTCTGGAGAGAATGCAATAATACGTCTGCTTTTAACAAACCTGGTAAGATGCTTTTTAGAATCAGTGCACAAAGAAAACTCAGATGGTTATTAAAGAGACTGTTCTGGTGAATTTATGAAATGAGTATTTCAGATGTAATTGAAATTGAGTTTACATGCCAATTAAAATGCCTGTGGAGCAACAACCAACAATCGCACCCTGCGATTACAACGGGAAACGTAGGATGTGACTGAAAGCTACGCAATTCTTAGAAATCAGTTACTGAGGGCTGAATTATTTTAGAGTCACCAAGACCCCAGCGTCTGGGAACTCTTCAGTCAAGAAATAGTTTGGTACATGGAACAGGAGAGAAGATCTTTGCCACATGGGCTATTATAAAAGTCTCTAGTTAGTTAGAAGACAAGCTACGAAACTGTTTTAAGTTATATAAGAACTACGGATAAGTAGTAGCTATAACAGCAAGACATCTTTTGAGCCTTGTGTCGGAATGCTGAGCCTTTCCCCCCCTCTATCCTCTCCTGTATTTAAAAATCTGCGCTTTCTTTTTTGTAACATTTAATTGTCCAGCATTAAAAGTCTCAGGCTACCCTCGCTCGCAATTTGAGAGGCAAACGGAAAGCTGTCGAACGGCAGGAATTTTAAGCTGTACGAACTGCAGCGCGGGGAAAACTCCCCGGG